AGTAACCTCAAAACAGAAAGGAGAACAAAAAACTAGTATCTTTCAAACGATAGTTTCCAGATTTGAGAGAAATTTAAGTTCTCTCACCACTTACATATTTACTTTAAAATCTTCCTTTTCCTTAAGCATTGTCTCTGCTAGCTGCTCTTGGAAATCTTCATTTGTTCCCACCAACTATTAAAGAAAAATAAAATTTGGCTAATAGCTGAGAAAAAAACAGAATTATGAATAAGAGATCAATGAACGAGTTACTTGCCCCAAAGTCCCCATCTCCCTCCACACCTCATTTTTCAAGTCCAGCCCCTACGCCAGCGGTCAGCAACCTAAGGCCCATGGGCTGGAAGTGGCCCATGGAGGTCATTTGACCGGCCCACGAACCGCCCCTGAACCGAGCTGTCTGCTCGCGCACTGTGCTAAACTGGTGCAGCACTGTGTGGGTACTCGCTTCCACGGCGCCAGAAATCACGTCTGCACAGGCGCAGGAAATTGCAGGCGCACACACGATCCAGCTCACAGAGGGATCTCCGCAGGACCAATCCAGCCCAGGCAAGATAAACCTTGCCAACCCCTGCCCTATGCCCAACTCTCTGTTTGGCTTAAGCAGCCTTCTGGGATCTGACACCCTCTGGAAGTTTTGGGCTGCAGCTTTGCTGGCAAGGAATAATAGGAGTTGTAAGGTAAAGGTAAAGGACCCCTGGATGTTAACCAGTCAAAGGCGACTATGGGGTTGCGGTGCTCATCTCACTTTCAGGCTGAGAGAGCCAGTGTTTGTCGACAGACAGCTTTCCGGGTTGTGTGGCTAGCATGACTAAACCGCTTCTGGAGCAATAGAACACCATGACTGAAACCAGAGCGCACGGAAATGCCGTTTACCTTTGCCCCACAGTGGTACCTATTTATCTGCTTGCACTGGCGTGCTTTCGAACTGCTAGGTTGGCAGGAGCTGGGACAGAGCAACGGGAGCTCACCCCGTCATGGGGATTTGAACCGCCGACCTTCTGGGAGTTGTAGTGCAAAGCAGCTGAAAGGCACGAGGTTGGAGAGACTGGTCTTCAATTACCAGAGTCAACAGGGGTTCAGCTTTACCATTCCACTGGATGGGAGAACCTTAGCAGGTGCGGCTCCCATCACCAAGCCTAAGGAACTCTGTGTCTGACGTATTAAAATAAGGGGCTCAAATTTCATCCATCCTTCCTCCTAGCTCAAGAGGGGAAAGAGCTGATGAGGAAATTAGAGGGGAAATGAACTCTACATGGCCTGGGGCTCGAACCCTCCACCCAAAGCAGCTCAGCAGCTGAGTCAACAGAAGCACTCCCGGTTTACTTACGGTAGAGAACCAAAGCATGGAAGTAACTTATATGCAGAATTCATCATGCAAAAGGCTGAGCTGGATGAATCCCTAGCTGGAATTAAGATTGCCAGAAGAAATATCAACAACCTCAGATATGCAGATGACACAACATTGATGGCAGAAAGTGAGGAGGAATTAAAGAACATTTTAATGAGGGTGAAAGAGGAGAGTGCAAAATATGGTTTGAAGCTCAACATCAAAAAAACGAAGATCATGGCCACTGGTCCCATCACCTCGTGGCAAATAGAAGGGGGAGAAATGGAGGCAGTGAGAGATTTTACTTTCTTGGGCTCCACGATCACTGCAGATGGTGAGAGCAGCCACGAAATTAAAAGATGCCTGCTTCTTGGCAGAAAAGCAATGACAAACCTAGACAGCATCTTAAAAAGCAGAGACATCACCTTGCCAACAAAGGTCCGTATAGTAAAAGCTATGGTTTTCCCAGTAGTGATGTATGGAAGTGAGAGCTGGACCATAAAGAAGGCTGATCGCCGAAGAATTGATGCTTTTGAATTATGGTGCTGGAGGAGACTCTTGAGAGTCCCATGGACTGCAAGAAGATCAAACCTATCCATTCTTAAGGAAATCAGCCCTGAGTGCTCACTGGAAGGACAGATCGTGAAGCTGAGGCTCCAGTACTTTGGCCACCTCATGAGAAGAGAAGACTCCCTGGAGAAGACCCTGATGCTGGGAAAGATGGAGGGCACAAGGAGAAGGGGGGCGACAGATGGCTGGACTGTGTTCTCGAAGCTACCAGCATGAGTCTGACCAAACTGCGGGAGGCAGTGGAAGACAGGAGTGCCTGGCGTGCTCTGGTCCATGGGGTCACGAAGAGTCAGACACGACTAAACAACAACAACAAGCAAAATAGAAAACCAACGGGAAAGCAGCAAGGGAACCAATGAGAGAAGCCGGAAGTCGGGCTAAAAAAGCCTTAAGGCGTCGCATTGATTGGCCGAGGTGGGAGCTCACTTTTCTAAGTCAGAACAACCAGGGCCCCGGCCAAAAGCAAGCGGGGAAATAACGAAAAGAAACTGCCCGTTTGCGCTCCCGGTTGCCGCCCTCCGCCCGTCTCATAAATACGCACCAAAACAGTGGCAGAGTTGATTGCTGGGAGCTTGGCGAAAGCAGCCAACGCCGCCATAATCACAGCGCGACCTCAGGTTTCAAACTGCCGCCAGTACCCTACGTCACCAAAACGTCTTCATACGCGTCGCTGCTATAAAAGGAGGTCGGGGGTGTGGCCTCTAAAGTAGATGCATTGCGGAGTCCGGTCTTATCTGCGCATGCGGAGTTTTGGCTCTTCCCCTGCTGGAGGGAAGAGGGCGCACGCGCGGGCAGCAAACGTTTTCTTTTCTGGTGTCTTATGTAGGGCACTTTGCGGGGGTGGCCCTTGGCACCTGCGCGCGCTGCGTGACGTCATTGCTCGTGAGAGGCTCGTGAGGGAGGGGGCGGGGTGTGAGGCTATAAAGAGAGAGGCTTGCCTTGGGGAGTTAGGAAAAGAGGGAAACTGGCTTCCTAGCTGCGCTCATTCTAAATAAAATAATAAGCTGGAGGCAAATTTGTAGAAATGTAGCCTCTGGAACGACACTGTTTTTATTTTGTGTGGAGTGGTTCTGCAGCAGTGTTAGGGTTATTATAACCTGTCATGTAAACCTTATAGATGCCTAGGGAATGAACGCTATTGTTTGTTTTAATGATATATCTATTTAATTTTTTTGTCTTCTCAGGGGAGAGGTTCAGGGGTTTGTTTGCAACCATCTAGGAAAATTGATTTAATTGGGCTATTTCTTTCCTCTTCCTCTTCTCCTGCCTGGTAACTGGCTAAAAATAGAGATAAAGCAAATGTTCCAAATTATTTTGCTGAAACATTGTATTAAGCCAGCATTTTTCAACCTGCAGGTTGCAAAGCCTGTGCAAAAGGTTAGCAGGCTTTATAAGTAAACCCAAAGTAATTACTGCTTTCGCTCCTTAACTGGTATGATGATAACTCTTAAAACTGTTTTGTTGGCATATTGTGATTTTGTACTTACTCATGTAAGCAAACACTAAAGTGTAAGACTTGAGCATTTCCAACGTTCACTAACATGCGTCAGGACAGCATTGAAATACAACTGGGAACTGGTGATTGGCTGCAGACGAAATGATGGTTTGCCACAACAGGCTCATACAGGGTGTTTTGAGTGACTAGTACGGCTCTTTCTGTGGAGGAAAGTGGCTTTTGTCTCTTTCAAGCATGTCTTGGTTGACAACTTCTGGGTTCTGGGGAGTTCCCACAACACACACACACACTTTGTGCATTTAGCTATAGGGGGATCCCAGGGCCACAGTGAGGGGTGCATAGGAGGAACTGCAAGGCAGGAAAGTGAGGAGATGCCCAGATTCCTAAGCCAGTTACTGGTTTTGGAGAGGACACCTGCTTCTTTAGAAGGAGCTATAACTACTTCTCTCTTCAGGGCAAGATGTTCTGCAGAAACCCCTGTGGTGAGAGTTGGACTAGCAGTATGTTTGGTAACGTCCAGAAAAAAGCATCACTGGTATTAGCAGCTTACAAGGTGGGATCTCTTATTGAGGCCCAAAGGCTGATAAGGGCTCACCAAACTGGAGGGAAAAAACTGTCATCCCCATTTCACATGGGGCATCCAATAAGATTTTCCCCAGTTTCCCAACCCAGAGCTCATGCTCATACAACACTGCTACATTGCAACACTCCTGACTTTAGTAAGGGAGGAAAAGATAGAAATTCCCTGCATTCTCCAATCCCTTTTCTTGCCAGCATTCTCCATGCCCAACCATATCTTCACTGCTGATTTCCTGTCCTCCATACTCATCTCTCACTCTGTAATGTGGATCATGCCCATAATTTTCTGCCAGGATTATTGCCCTGATTTGTTTGCACTATCTTCGGTTAAAAATATATACTTATACATAACTAGTTGTGTCAAAATATACACAAGGATGGTCAATAAAATAAATATCATAATGCATCCCATTGAAAGCAATGTAGCACCAGATGCAGATCTAATGTGCATTAGTTTATGGGGTGTGGTTCCTGTTCAAGTAAGTGATGCACATGCAGAAGCCTGTTTGGGAAAGCATGGAGTCAAAAGTGGCAACTTTAAGTGTTGCTGGGGTGGACATAATATGTGTCTCTGTTGATGCTCACACATCACTATACTGTATTTGCAAACATTTATCCAATTTAAAACTGACTTCCTCAGCTTAGAGCATCTATCTCTCTCCCAATTCTGCTTGCTTATTCTCTGTACCACGTGCGCTGGAGATCTTTCTAGGCTTGTTGCTATGACAACAGCTGATAGTCTGGCTGTGGTGTTTTGATTGGCTGGGGAAGGTCTTGCCTCTTTTGTGAGGGTGAAAGGGAGGGGGCCACCAAAATAGGAGCAAGATGGAAAGAATCCAAAGCCGATCCATTTATGCGAGCAATGGGGCGGGGAGCGGGGAAGCAGTCCTCGGCAGCTTCAGATGATGAGGCAGTGAGCTTAACTGTGTGTCATTTACAATTGCATACATGAGCATGCGTACATGCAGGGCAAGCAGCACTTCATTTCTGTCCATGCTATTGACTGCTCTGACACTTTGACGTGCTTGGACTGCATTCCATTGGAGAAGCACTTTGTCCCTTTGACCCATACAGCAGAGAGCAGCATCAGATGAGCGGAATGCTACTGTTCTGTTCTGGGTAACAACAGATCACAGAGCAGTAGTCTGAATGAAGCATGTATGTGGATCGAGGTAGGTGATGCACCGTGCCCGGTATTGTACATGCATGACTTCTTGTGTTTAGGGATCTCCTTTGAATTATGTCTATATGTAATACATCTTCGTTTATTTGGGCACTGTGAAGAAAAACAGAGCCATGGAAATTGAGGTATGGAAGGGAGCACATGGGTCATTTGTTCTGACCAAGCCCATAGAAGAAAATCCTTTCCTAAAGTAGAGAAGAAGCTAGGCGTTTCTTTAAACCTTCAATGATGGAGAGGCATGACATGTTCTGTGATAGAGACTGGATGAGAGAAGGATATAGATGCATACCATGGGACTTAAATGTATTTATTTTATCCAGAAAAAAAGTATAGGCCACTTAATCATAAAGCTCTATAAGTGGTGTAAATAAGAATAATATAAAAAACCCACCATGCATAAGTATGAGTGTGAATAGTGTTCTACAATGCCGACCTAATGATGATTTTATATAAAGTCTACAACAACAATCTTAGGCTGTGCTGTCCTTATTCTTTTGCAGAAGTGCAGTGATTTTAGGCTGGTGAAGTTTTACTTTCAGTTCCTCATACCATTTTAATAACATTTAATTTCATAAACTAGCATAAACAGAATCTCAAAACAGACATATGCAGACTCCAGATATCACATATGAAAAGAATGGGGAGATGCAAGAGACTGAATGGAGAAGATAAATAAGGTTTGTGGATTTTTAAAGGAATTTGAATAACCCTATTTGGGGTCAATATAGTCCCAGTTCTACTGGGTATTGTTGATTTTTAATCTATGTGGCTGCTGTCTAAGCGCACTAAGGAATAAGTCCCAATTATGTCTCTGAGACTTCTGAGCAGAAGTGATTAGGCTTGTGGCAGTAAAGGAGAAGGATAAAAAAGGTGGATGGGATCTTTGCCTATCAAAGTGAATGCAACATTTACGAGCATCTGAGGATTCACTGGATATTTATTTATTAAAATTACTCATCATATGACTGGCTATTATATTCCACTCTGGTATGAGGTGTCAATGGCACCTGTTTCTTCCCTTTGCTTGAATCTCTCTCAGTAGATGCACTTTAAGGATGTCTTTTAAGGATTATGAGACGCACCATATGAAACCAAGGCCTATCCTTGCTAGTTTGGTTGAGTTGGCATGGGTTGGGTTAATTTCTAGTTGAGGCTGACGTATTTTTGTCTGGAAACTGATAGGGAAAAGAGATCCTACATTTTTCTTTTTGACCTGTTAAGAGTTGTTTGATGTGGTAGATTTTTGGATCCTACTAGATAGTTTCGGCAGCTATGGGAAAGCTGTGTGTTGGTTCTGTTCTTTCCTTTTTGTGCCTAGCCGTAGAGTAAATTTAGGGGATATCTGTTCCACACCATGGGAACTGATCCGTGTTCCACCAGAACTGTTTAACATTTGTGAAACCACTGGGATTAGATTGTCCAAAGACTACATATGTGGCACCATTGTCATTAAGCTGAAGTTCCCCAGATCTATGTTGTTTAAGCATGCAAGAACAACTAACATTAGCAGCTGCATCTGGTATCCTGACTTTGTCACTTCTCAATAATAGGGAGCCTGCCATTTGTCATTTATACGTTTGTGACCTCTGTCATTTCATTTCTGTGTGCCCTTTTTGAAGACTCCTTCCTTGGACTATATTACTCATTTTTGCTGTAGTAATAAGGGGTAGGGAAAACAAGTTCTAGTCATGTGGCATCTCTTCCCTTCTCACCTCTGTTCATTTAAGATGCATCAGCAAAAGTAACCCAGAAGTTGCTTGCTGCCATCTGCTTTATGGAGTACACAGTTTTATATAACTTTATATATTTTTTTAAATATCTGCCACTGTTTTGCCTAATGGATTTGGCCTCTGTACAATTATGGCAATATGTTGCCAGAGTATGTGAAACAGGGCACTTTTGTGCCTGGTTTAAATAAAAAAATCTGCTGCCATGATCAGCTCTAAATGAAATTGGGGCATTACTTCTGAAGTCTAAATGAGAGATAGAAGTGCCCTCCCATATGAGAATATGCTTGTAACCAGAGGCATAGGAAGGGGGGGGTGCGGGCCGCCCCGGGTGTCACCGCTGAGGGGGGTGACATTCGGCGCTTTTCTCACCTGCCACTCCCAAGCCTACCCCAAGCCGTCGATGGGGGGGTGGGCGGTTTGACAAAAAAAAAATTCACACCGGGTACCACCTGACCTTGCTACGCCTCTGCTTGTAACTTCCTAGTTCTTATACCAAGGATCATTGCCCATGCTGCACCCCAAATTGCTGGATACTCTTTTTGCATGCTGCATATTCATGTAATGATGAGCTGAAAGTTATCCTGTGAAGTTATCCAGAAAGATTTGCCCCTAAAAATCATTGAAATGTCTTCACATGCATTGACCGATACACCCTTGAGACCCCAGGGAGAGAGCTGTACTTTGAAGAGCGACTCCTAATAACTCTAGCAGCTTATATTAACCAAATCCTGAAGTTCCAAAATAGAGTCAAAATAGGGACAGTGGATTGTGGATACCAGAAAAATAGGGACTATCTCTGGCAAAAAGGGACAGTTGGAATGTATGTGTAGCTCTGAAATGCTCCCATTGAGTTCTGTGGGACTAAATAAATGGACTGCAAGTATCTGAAATGTAGTTGAGAAGGTACAACATTTCCTCCTTTCTGGTATGGGGTTCTAATTGCCTCACCAGTCATGACCCTGAGCTCAAGCTTTTACTTCCTACCTTAATGGGAGCAGTGTTGCAGTACATCATCCCTGATGCAGAGTAGCTTAGCCTTCCACACCAAGGATCCCACAAGGAGAAGGACAGTAAAGCAGAATGCTTTTGATGCTTCTCCACATATCAGACACATATTTGAGAAGGGGAGACACTGTAGAGCCGTCCCTCCCCACCCCTCTGCTGCAACTTCTGCTTGGGAGGGCAGAGAAGGATCCTTGGAGCATCTTCTGTTTTAGAGGTCAGGACCAGATTTGGAAATATAGGTCTGGTCTCATCCTTGGCTCTCTCTGATGCTGCCGTAGTGGCTAGGGAGTGGCTGAATGGGGTTGAATAGGTAAGAGAGAGCAGTGGTGGAAAGTACTGAAACGCTCCTTCCTTCATCCATCAAATTTGAAGCATTGTTGGTTAGTTATTGTTTTATCTAGCAGCAGCATATTAGTTCACGGAGTAACCAAAAAGCAGGGGAAGAGGATTCATACAGTTTGCATTAGAAAAACAAAAAAGGGAGGAACAGAAAGATGGAAGGACAGCACAGAGTCGGAGGAGAGGACAAGGAATGATTGTGAGGAAATGCAGTTATATATATTTTAAACATTTTGTTTCAGCTAGGGATGAAGACGGAGTGGTTAAGATAATAAAGAACCAAATTATGTGAGATAAAATGGGAAGGAATCAGTGGATTCACAAAATATGTCATTGCTATAGTCAATATTAGAAGCAAAGAATGATTGAATAATGAATTAAGGCCACCTCCAGACAGAGGATTTTTGAGTGCCATACAGGACTGTGTGTCTTCTCATGCAGATCACTGCAAGTCCACATGACAGGCTGGGATCTAACAGGGTCAGCAGTGGCTGCATGGTTGAAAACAATGACTGTGGTGCAACTATCCCACCCTACTTGGTACATCTTCTGTACTTCAGGGTCAGCAGTTTAGTGCTAACTTGTCAGTGGTGGCAGAAGCTGCCAACTGGATGCAGCCTGAGTGAAAAAAGGAAAGAAGCTGAAAAAAGCAGGAAATGGAGCTCATCTATATTGAATGGCTAGCGGGTCTAGGAAGTGGGAAAGTAGTGGAATATAGAGTTGAGGAAAATGTGTTATCAGTTGAGGTATGGCTGGAATAAAAGGGGGAGTGAAGTCAACAGTCTGGGACCAGTTAGTACCATTTGAAGGTGCCTTTGCCATCCAATCAACAACATAAGCCTTGTTATCTAGCCTCCCTGCTGTGTGCAAAATGATGTGTGGGAGCATGTGGCAAGGCTTTGTTGTAGGGGCTAGTTTTAGCTCTCAGTAGGGATCAGCTTCAGGTTATTGGTAGCTGCTGCATTGATCAAACTAGACTGAGTTCTGGATGAGGCAGATCAGGATCAGAGGGGCCAGAGTTTCCAGAGGAAGTCAGGGTTAGGTTGTAGGTTGAGTGGCAAAGGCACTAGGACTATGCACTGCTACTCATGGCAACACATAGATGAGAGTTAAGGAGCAAGGAGAAAGCAGGAGTTGGCCTGTGGGATCAGCTGACAACTCAGGTAGGCCGGTACTTCAACCTTGAGGTAAAGTCCAGTCTGGCAGGTTTACAGAGGAAACAGAACACAATGGAGCAGAAGGCTAGGTTCTAGATCATGACACTAAATTCCTAAAGATACCAACTTGACTACAGTGGTACCTCAGGTTACATACCCTTCAGGTTACATACGCTTCAGGTTACACACTCCGCTAACCCAGAAATAGTGCTTCAGTAAAAGGAGAAAGATTTATACGATGTTTTGATGTTTGTGGTCTGTTTTTGTGTTTTTTGTTGACTTTGTTGACTTTCGTTGTCTGTTAATTTTTTTGAAAAAATCCTAAATAAATATTATTAAAAAAAATAATCAGGTTAAGAACTTTGCTTCAGAATAAGAACAGAAATCCGGCTCCAGCGGCGCAGCGGCAGCAGGAGGCCCCATTAGCTAAAGTGGTGCTTCAGGTTAAGAACAGTTTCATGTTAAGAACGGACCTCTGAAATGAATTAAGTACTTAACCCGAGGTACCACTGTACTTCATAGCTTGACAAGCACCAAATATGTTACTTTGTAAACAGACATTTGGACTGGAGTACTGTTGTCATCGTCACCTATTTGTTGTTTTATACTATACTGTTAGTGTTTTTATTATTAGGTTATCATTGTTTCTATCTGGATGTTAGCTGCCTTGGATAAAATATTTTAATTTAAAAAATCCAAATACTGCCAAAAGAAAAAGGAAATATGTGCATATTGGCTTGCTTTATTATGATTTGTTATTCCTCAATTTTCTCTCTCAGGGGTATAGCACCTTTACAAGGCACTTCTTAACAAGCAATCTGAGAGAGGAAAAAATCAGTTGCTCAAGGTAAGCTATTGTGTGGATTTAGTAGACTTGCATTATTCTTTGGAATCATAGTATAATTATACTGCATTAAAAGAGACAATATATTAAAAGAGGCATGGATTAAAGGAGAAAGAAAAAAGTGGGGTATCAAAAGTTGCAATCAGCCTAGTGGGATAGCAGGGGCTAGAGAGCACATTAGGAATTTGAGAAAGTAAGTACAATGGGAACCAGTCACATAAGAGCTGTGTGGGGCCATAGCATAATACAAAATGGCTGCCACATCCAAAAGAGAGAGAGAAAAGACAGGCTCATAAAATTGTGTGGGCATGTTCCTGACCACCCTCCCATCCATGGAAGAAAGGCACCTTACATCAGCTACTGCTGCACTTGCTCACAGAGTGCACCTCTCCAATGTGGGCATTTTCTAAGGGTTCATGTTCAATGTAAGAAGGGCTGAACCAATGCAAATAGGAACTGAACAAGGAGGGCAAACCTTCTCATGCATTGTGGATTTTTGAGGAAATATTTACTGAGACCTTTTGTGGGTGTCATAGGAAATACGCTGGCACCCATGGCTGCTGCGCTAGTGTCTATATAAATCTATATATGTTTGACAGTGATTTTGATACTCATCAACCAATACCAACTGCATATGTTTACCTTTCTTTTTCTAGCAATCATGCCTCATTTCTTGGATTGGTTTGTGCCAATGTATCTGATGATCTCCATTCTTATCTTGGTGGGCTTTGGAGCTTGCATATACTACTTTGAGCCAGGACTTCAGGAAGCGCACAAGTGGCGGACACAAAGGCCAATCATGGAACGAGACCTTCGGAAAACACTGATGATACGAGACAACCTGGCATTTGGGTGCCTGAAGTCTAGTATTCTTCTTGCATAGATGTGTTGGAAGTATCTAGAAGAAAGCCATCCCCACCTGAAGTTACAAATTACTGTGCACACTCTGGTTTGCTTAGCACTTCTGCAAGTGATGTGGTCAAACCACTCCTTGCTTGAGTCTCTGATAATGAAGTGTTCCTTTTTGCTATTTAGTCAAGGCCTGTAGACTCATATCAACTTAGACCTTCTGGTTTTTGAATTTGTTCATCACCCCATCACTTGATATTTTTTATCCTCCATATATAAAGAGCTCTTGTTACCTTGCTAGGAGTGGTCACACCTGTACGTGAGCTTTAGACCTCTTAAGTATAAGAAAGCAATATTTCTGCATGACCTGTCTATTTTGGTCCAGTGCCTCCTGGACAAGTGCCCATCTCACAAACCTCACAACAGACACCATTTCATTACTTTATTTAGAGTCTCTTGGGTGAGGCAAAAACCCCAAATTGATTGCTCAGACTGAATTCTATTCTCATTCCCAACACTGAGCTCAGATATGCAGTAGGACTCATTACTAGCCAAGTTGTATATATTTTGATTTCAGATTGTTTCACTGCACACAAGCGCCTGTCTGGCTCTGAACACACTCAAATTTCACTTTTAAAAGTCTGTGCAGATTAATTACCGTTAAAGAATTGCTTTCATTTCTCCATGATTGGGGAATTTGTTTCTAGATGTTGGATCGTCTGCACTTCTCTATACTTAGAGGACCCAGAATGCTGTCATGCAAAAAGCTTGTATTTCACAATCCTCTGCTGCTGCAATCTTTTAAAGTGGTCTGATCAGGAGTCCCCTGTTTAGCACTGTACTTTCTAGATTGTCAGCCAGACTGAAAACTGTGAAATGCCATCACACAACCTACCTTTCTGCATCCACACCAAAAGCCACGGAGCTAGTGGCAGTCACACTGCTGTTCTAATTTCTATACGTTGCTTCTGGAGCTCCATTGTGTGGGGTTATGCAGTAGATATGCTCTCTATCCACACAGTGTTTGCACTTTGATCCACACTTCCTTTAGGGATATATTACCAAAGTACTGTATGAAAACTTTAATGCATGTGAAAATGGGCAGGAACCTCTGCTAATCTAATAGTGTGCAGATTGCATACTGATAATATTGGCAGAATATAGGACCTATGACATGATGGGTATTCTCATAGCTGGTTTTACTGTACCTATATTATCTTTCACCTTCGTTTCAGGGCATCAGTTCTGACTGTAGAGTATGTTTCATTCCCTTGTTGACAGAGTATGTTGTGCTGTGTTAACACATCTGTTCCACTGTGAAGTACTAGTCTTGTGGACATCAGTTTCACCAGTATACATTTCATGTTAGGGACATGTGCCTTTGCTTCTCTACCGTACTCATATGTACATTCCATGTTAAGGTAGCACATACTGTTAATGTCTACATCATCCCCCGATTACAGAGACATGTCTATACATTGGATGCCCCATTGGAATGCATTCACTCCCACACCATAGTTTCGTAGAACATAGTTCTTCTCTACATTCCATACTTTCCTCGCCTGTCAAGTGCTGCCTTCTCATACACTTGGATACATTCCGTTGCTTCCATGATCTCATTCAGTGCCATAGTCCCTGACAACTGCACAGTACAGCAGGAACTTGGAATCTTGCTGGAAAGATGCTCGCTCCTTCATTGGATTTCCTCCCCAGTCTGCTCACAATGAAACCACACAGCCAGCCGGAGATCGCTCTCACTTGAAAATGTGTGGCATGCTTTGTCAGCAGCTGCTGAATTTGAGCATAGCACATTGCATAAGGTGGTATGTGATTTATTGTGAGTGGCTGCCTGAGGATGCTTCTAGTGTGAGTGAGGGTAGTTTCTAGCACAAGGTGGGGGTAAGTGTTTTGGTACAGCTGTGTGGAGCTAGTCTCAAAGCAGGTGTAAAAACCAGACTAGGTCTCATTACCTGCATCACAAATGCCCACAGAACTTGTCTTGCTTCAAATATACAGAACAGGGTGAGATTCCTGCATTGCAAGGGGTTGGACTAGAGGACCCCTGGGGTTCCTTCCAACTCTATGATTCTGTGAGGAAGAGGCGCCATTTCCTAGGTGCCCAAAACAGCAGAGCAGCTTTCTGGTGTGGGGTCATGTGTGTTTAGAGCATGGATCTTGGCTAGGTATATGCCATTTTAAGCATTCTAATGTTTTAAATTGGCTGCCCCTCTCCAGGGACCCTTGCACAGAGCAATAAGCTGCATCTGGGCCAGTCTTTCCATTAGGCAGAGTGAGTTGGTTGCCTCAGAAAGCAACTTTTGGATGCCCTACCAGGGTGGCAAATTGCTTGTTTATATTGTGTCTGTATGTGTTGAGTTTGTAAGGCACCCAAATGTCTTGGTCAGCTGTGAGCAGCATGCTCCAGTGTGCAAAGATCAGATGGCACAGACAGAGCTAACCATCCATTTAGCAAGTTGTGATGCGCATTATCCTGATCCAACATGTAACATGTGTCTGTGGAAGGGCTACAGATTATTTTTAACCCTGCACAGTCAACCCCTCCTTGGAGTCCTCCGTGGACGAATGCAGAAAGCGACCTGCACACACAAACCTACTTCTGTGTGCACAGATTGCCTTTGCTGGATTGGAGCAATTATATTTTTGTTTGAGGGCATGAGACTAGGAAAAAGGCAGCACCATAACATTCCCAAGTTGTTCTGCTCTAAATGGGCACTTTCCTGTATCCATGACCCATTTGTTACTACATATATCTACTATAGCCATAGTCTCTGAGTTTCACTTGGAGACCTGTTTTCTGAGCCTTGATTTCATTTGTGAAGACTAGGCTACCAATGCAAATGAACGGACCCCAGGCTGAGCAATGGGGGTAGCAATAAGTATCCTATCTGGGGCCAGGAGTTTTAAAGACTTTGTGGACAGGCTGCATTATCCATTGACGGCTAATACATAGTGGGTGGAGGGTTCTGTGGAACTTATCATGACACACTTTTTTGAACTTAGCCACATAATCTTTGTCCTTCCCAAGTTTCTTTTCTCAGGGTTGCCTCACATGATAAGGAGAAAACGAGTTGCATCTTCAGTGAATCAGCCACATGGCGCTGCCTGCTGCAAATATGCTTTTCATATTATGTCAGGTATCTCTCAGTGTAAGATAATCTCCGTTAGGAAGTGACTCAGTGACCACACAAGCTTTTTGTAGGTATATTGATTTCAATGGAACTGCAGAATGTGAGTGCAAATAGTCGTTGAGTAATACCCTTGATATTGAGAAGTGCTGAAAGGAAACAATTTTTTCTCTTTTCTGTTCAAAATTAAAATTACTGGGCACAGGAACCTGGGTATATAGTTTAAATCCTCGCCCTCCAGAAGTGGTTGGGAGTGAGACCAGCTACCCAGGTTCATGTGTCCAGTAATTTTAATTTTGAACAGAAAAGATAAAAATTAACTCCAGCCACAGAGACTGATCAATCATCAGCCCAAACTGATTCACATTGAGTGCTATTGAGTGAGAGCTCAGTGGAAGTTTCTCACACTTTTCTATTCCTAGCCTTGAGGACAATTGAGGAACTGCATTTGCTACCAGCATGAAATCCACAGTATGTTTTCTGTTTCACGAGCAAAAAACATTTTCGAAAAGCCAACTATATAAACAAAAACAAGTCACTGAGTTTTGTGCCAAAATCTGGGAGTTAGGATAAATGGTTAGAATTATCCCACCTAACTTAGACCGAAGGGGCATCAGCCTATATTTGTACTTGACTTTGATTAAATAGTAACCACATATACTGTTTTCTTCAGTGACAACCAATAATTATTTTAAAATGGGGGAAATCAGAATTAGAAGAACCAATTTCCTGTCTACATTCTGTGTGAATCCCTGGCCTCTTCTCTTGCTTTGTACTGTTTTGTGTGCCAAGTCTTCAGTGGTCTTATCTATCCAATTCTGTATCTTACTCCATAGGGCTACCTACCTGCAAATGAACAAGAAGTAAAAATATTTTTGTTCGTAATGTCTGTTTTGATAATGGAGCAATCTCATAAGAGAACTGTGGTGTTTTGGGGATTTGTTGAGAGTTTGTCACTTTTTGTGCTGTTCCTAAACCTACCAGTTTGCCTGTGAAATCTTCAGAATGTACCTAATTGTTATGATAATCTCATGTGTGAATGTTCTGTTTCAGTGGTGGATTTTTATGCCCATGTGATCTTTTCTTGGATCATGTGCTTTACATGATTGGGCTTTTGTGAGACAGTATGTATTTTCCATTATTGGAACCAACATTTCAGCAGGGTTTGAATCTGATTAATTAGAATTAAATATCAAATTTCAATCTGCTCAGAATTTAGAAATGTTAAACTGTTATTTCTATTTGTAACTCTTTGAGGTGAGAAAGCCGAACTAAAGAAAGTTGAAAAGTTACTCAGTGCTCTGGAACATTCAGTTTACCTAGTTTTGAAGTTCAAAGTTGTGAAAGTCAAAGACTAATCCTAAACAGACTCATTAAGAAGTCTCATTAAAAACAGTAGGAACTAATTTTCTGAGCAAACATGCATAGAATTTCTCTGACATTTGGAGCAATTTCAAATGTGTTATGAATCTAATTTAACTGGACATTTGTTTATTTTTATATTTCAGATTTGTTCTGGTTCTTACTATTGTATTAACTTGTAACATTTGGAAATAGAACAGCTTAATGGTTCAGAAATCAAAACACACATGAGAATTGTGTTTGAAAAACAACATGGAGTTTGGAAACTTGAGTCATAAATTGTTGTGCCTTGGATTATCATGGCTATTTTGGACATTTCTCCTAATCCAGAGCCACCAATTAGTGTGCAGAAGGTGGTTTCCTCTCTGTGGAAGTAGGTAAACCTGCAAGTTGCCCATGGAACCTGGACAGCTATGGGGAGCACCCAGCTGTCATGTCATCTGCCACAACTAGATGGATACTGAGAGAGACTTCTCAGGAGCTCCTCACA